AATTTGTCATGCTTGTCTTACATGGAGAAATAAATATTTAAGTCTTTGAATATACATTTTTATTATTATATACATTAAAACTAAGACAGGAATGCAGAAATTCACTAACACGCTCAGTTTGGATAACAGTTCAATGAAAGAAAAAAAACAAGTAACCGCACATCTTTATATATTAAAGGAATAGCCACTTGAAGCAAACTTTAAGGAGATTTTTATATATTTTTGCTAATGATCATCAGACAACTCCTTTAGTCCAAATGAAGTTCAATGAAGTGGATGTATGTAAGTTATTGGAATGCACCGTAATTACCTTCAACAATGAGAAAACCCATACCGTGCAGTCAGCTTCAAAAGTCCCCAACATGGAAAATATATAACAATTCACTAGAGAAAACGAAGTGTCTACAATAACAAAGCAATTTACGAAAATTCAAATATGACGGACATGAACCAACAGCAACCACTGAATTACAGGCTCCTGACTTGAGACGGGCACATAAAGAATGTGACAATGTTAAATATTTTTAGGCGCTCATCACCACCACTAGCATGGGACATTGGTGTAACGACATAACATAAAAACAAACTTTAAACATAATTTGAAAATAGTTCATTTCGGTTTAATCAGGCTGACTGTACATGAAATATTTGCCATTGACAAGCAGTTGTGAATCGAAGTTGAATTTACAGAAAGGTGACATCAATATATGCTATCATATTTAACATTCTTGTTTAGATCTGACATTGCTACGTATTTATACATTCCGCATTATTTTTGGCTTCTCAGATTTTTCACATGGTAAACTGTCAGCAGTTACCCAACAAAAAAATGTTATAGGGAACCTTTTTACAAAGCATCATGCCGACAACAATTAACATGGTATGTCACCAAACATTGAACAAGCACATTTATATTTGCTGTGGCTAAAAAAACTAAAGCAAATCACAACTCTTTTCATCTGAGTTGCTCAATTATTAGGGTTACAAAAAGCATAGCGATATAACTAAAACATACGACACTTTAACAATAGACAATATTCAAATTTTCAAAAACTTTACGGCTCTGTATTGAAGCACAAAATTTCTTGTCTGGGATTTTGAAAGAGGGCACATATTTCTGGTGTTGAAAAAATGTCAATGTAATTTACACTAATGTGGTTCTATTTATGTTAACATAGAGATAATTTGATTAATCAGTCACATAATTTTGAAGCTTCTTCGTTCTGATTTACATGTACTTGCGGTTGATGCTTCTTTTGGAGTTTTTGTAGTTTTTGCAGTCTTTGCAGCAGGGACGTAGTCATCCTCAGATTCAATATCTGATGCAGTATATTCACCACGTAAAAGATCAAGATTGAGTTCACTATCATCCCAAGATAAAAAATCAATGTTACTGGACATTGTGAATTGAAAAATTAAAATGCCGGCGATATTTTGGGAACATATATATAATTTGTAGGGCTTACTTTTGCTTTATGTATCCATTGCAGTTATAACCTCTTTGCTGATCTGTTACGTAAGGAAATTACTCATTTACCTTTAATGAAATTTTTTCTCTCTTCTGTGATCGCGGCTTATTACATTGTTTGCAAAAACTTGACCTAATTATCAGACGGAAATTTTAAAAAAATGGGGGGGGGGGGGGGGGGGGGGTTGAAACTTGTTTGAAAAAAAAAAATTACGTTGGATAATCTGAATACACCTTATCGCTATTTGTCCGCCATTACTGGACATCACACAGGTTCCCGTAAAATTTTGACGTCATAATACAAAATATCTGACGCCACAATGGAAAAGTGATTGTTGTATGACGTCAATAGTTCAAGCGGGACGGATTCTTGGGTCAGCCGGGAATAGCGATAAGGTGTATGAGGGTCTGGATGACGGTTCTTTATTTCCTATAATTTCTATGCCATTTTTCTCTATCCTTTAAATCTTAATGACTTATTATTTTCTCTTCTCTATTCTTTATTTGTCGGTCCATTTTTCTCCATTCTATACTTTTTTTGCCCCTATTTCTCCATTCTATAAAACCCCATCCACACCCTCCTGAATCCTACCACAAGTGCACCGACGATATTTGACAAGGTTTACTACAATAAACATGTATATTGGGCACTCAGCAGTGACATACCTTACAAGTATAGAATAAGTTTACTGCAATAAACAGAGCCTCGTGTACCTTGGGCACCCAGCTGTGAAACAAAATTCATCTCCCATGCTTTTGAGACTACCTGTCTTTACAGGTAATTATATTTGTATATTAGATACAATTAACGGACGTGTAGCAAAACAATGTAACTGTAAGATTGATAAGATTAATCACATTCACATTTTCAAGAGTGGCCGCATAATAACAAACTATTAACAAATTATTAATGATTAAAAACAAAAATTTAAATATGAATAGAGATAACTGCATTTGAAAGATAAAAACTATATTCTTTTTTTTCTTTGATTAATTCAATTTTGTTTTTAAATTATTTTTAAAAGAAAAATAATAATATCAGATACTGTTATAGTATTCTCAGTGATAGGTGATATATGTCGTCTGCTACGGTCGAATACAAAACTACGTTAAAATAACGTAGCTAACTACCGGAGATTCAGATAATCCGATAAATCTATAGTGACCAATCTCTGTGTTATAGTAGTCTCAGATATTATATTATTATATTTTGAGTTATTCAGAGGGCATCAGGGGAGATTAGTAATGTACTAACTGATTTTACCCTCTTTAAATAAAGTATTTATTATTATTATTATCGTATTCCGCAGCTAAGGGAAAAGTCATTATTTATCAGCTGAGGGGGTTGGTTCATTTTAGGGGGGGTCACTACCAAAAATATCATACAGCTGGGGGGGTTGCCATCAAAAATTTTATTTGACTGGGGGGTCACACAATGAAAGTTTTTATGTCTGATAAGCATATAAATTATTGACAATATTGAAGTGAGTGTGCAATCTTTTAAATAATTTCTGTCATTATTAAATCTTTGGTCATGTACAGTGAGTAATAGAAGGCTGCCTAATTTCTCAAGGGTAGTGAATCTGGTGACTCCTTATCACAGTCATCTGTTATGGTTCATTGTCCCATGGAACTATTATATTCAATATAATAGTTCCATGATTATCCATAGGACAAGAAGGATGTGAAAGTTTACAATCCGACTTATCTCAAGATTAACAACTGTATAAAACATTTGTCTCTAGTTTTGACCACAGGAAACAATGAGTTTTAAAAGTTTCTGAACATGTGTATTACAACTTTCTGAAGTGTTCAAATCATTTTGATGCGATTTCTTAGGATAGATATAGGACTGTAAAAGGTGTGTACGTTCTAAAATCATTTGTAAATATGTGTAATTATTTTATGAAATTATTTCAAAGATATCGAATAATAAAAAGAATTTTTAATGTTCAAATCGAGGGCCCTTGTTGGGCAGCATGGCATTCACACACACAAAACAATACACATCGGATTTCGTAAAACATTTTCACATTGAAATAAAATATTGAATGTTCATATAGTTATTAACCTACATATATATATTTCTTTATCGCAAATAAATCATGTACATATTTGATCCAGGAAGGACTAGAACCATACAATTATAGTAATATTTGTAATGTGTTATTTTCAGTTGCACTTCCAAATGTGGGATTGAAATAAAAAAATAACTATATGATGAGAAAATTAAAATCCAAAAAACATTTACAAAACTTCAAAATTTTAATAAAGACATTAAAAGAATTTAGCCATGTTTTCTTTTTTTTTTTTTAATGTTTTTTCATTCACAAATAATTCTGTGTCAGACAGTAAATTTAAATTTATTCGAATTCATAACAGAGGGAAATTCATTATTGAAAGGTTATATATAATATTGTAGAATTATAGGTTGCATTCAAATAAATTGGAACAAAGAATTTTCTGTTTTTTTTTCTTTTTACGTCATTCCATTCATTTATAATAGCACATGCTCATGTATATAAACAAATTTGGCTAATTGTGCCTTTAAAAGCTTAACGTTTTAAGAATTAGCAGTTTCAAAATCAGGGACAATCTGTATTAAGGTATGACTTCATTCTGTTCATAAAGGTTCAAGTCAAAAAGCAATATGTATTTGTTTTCATTTAAATGCTTATTTTGTCAATTTTTCTTCTTGCATGTGTCAGCTATTCATATTCGAAAGAAAGAAAAAAACAAAAGAAGAAAAACTCTATAGTATACTCAGGGTTTTCTCAAAGAAGAATACAACTGAAAAATGTTTTCTAAAATCAGTTGCATCAGCTTCAAAATAAAGAATATGGAAGGTCATGATGAAACATCAAGGCATTATAATATTTACAGAATATCACTTACTAATGACTGCTAACCAGACAAAGTAAATTATCTTTATCAAATTAATTAGTTCAAGCTACTTATACATGTTATATAAAATAACAGAATTATAGTGTAGAATGTATTATGAAATATCAGTTCAAAATCAAAGAAAATGAGTACTGCAATCAAGGAAAACCCCTTTATGCCGTATTCTGTTACGGATAGTGTCAATGTCCACATACTTCTCATAGCTATTTTTCAAGTCAATTCCTGCAACTTTTTAAATTGTAGCTTGCAGCTGGGAACAGTATATCTAAAAAAAAGTCAATATATATGTTCCTGCTTGCAGTCATCATCTTCTCCCAACTGTTAATCGATAGAGATTTTTGTTTGGTAGGGGGGAGGGGGGTCAAACTTTTGAAACTATGTTCTCAGGGGGGGTCATTATGTGGTTCATAAGAATCATGGGGGGGGGGGGTTGCCAACAAAACCTTTTAATGTGAAAAATTTGAACCGACCCCCTCAGCTGATAAATAATGACCATTCCCTTAATTATACGTGGCAAGCAGTTCATACGTCGGTATTTTTTCCTTTGTTTCGGGGATTTTTTTTTTCATGACAGTCACAATCTCAATTGTTTTTAAACGTTTGATTGAGTTTATAGGATAGCTCGTACCTTTGTTTCGCTACACTTAACTGAGCCCTCTGAAAATCGGCCGCAAGCCGTTTCACCTCTTCCCAATCTGCCATTTCTAACTGAAGGACAACAAGATTTCTTCCCTTTGATATGGCTAGTGCTATAATAATGTACACCAAAACCGGTCCGATCAAACACCGATATTTGACAGTGAAAATATATGAACCCGAAAATAAAAGATTCAATAAACAACCAAACAAAAAATAAAATTCATACATAAAAGGCCAAAACAACGAAACTGGCATCGCATCGCATCTCTAAGAAGTTAATGTTTACTCTATACAGATTCTTTATAAAAGCCTTCTTCAACGAACAATTTAAATCAGCATTAAATCTGAGACTTATACAATAATTCATGAAAAAGGTCCGTCAACACATCCAACAATGGACAACATAGACATCAAAAGAGAAGGCATCTATAAATTGATAAAAATATAAACCCTAAATAAGCAACTGGACTAGATCTATAACTTAGGCAATTTAGCTCTAAAATCACTCAACCTGCAACACAAGTTTTTTAGTGCAAATAAGAATGTAGACTTGTACTAACAACCTGGGATATAATATATTGAGTTAGAATAATAATCCCAGTAATAACATACTAAAAATCTACATTAGGATGATTTGAGGAAAAGGTAATTTTGGGGTGAAATATGTGGTTTTTAGAGAAAAAATACTGAAAACTGGAAAAGAAGAAAAAAACTGTTATTTATGGTTACATTTTTAGACTCATGAAGACTTGGTGAAGACAGGACACGTTTTCTTATCATTGTATTATGTAGTCCTCTATAGTTATTAGTATTCATATCAGAGTAATTTTGAGTTTTGAGGTGAAATGTGTGATTTTAGAGAGAAAAAAACGCTGGAAACTGGAAATGAAGAAAAACTGGTTACATTTTTATTTTGACAGCTTGGTGAAGACAGGACACTTTATCTTATCATTGTATTAAAGCCCTCTAGTTATTAGTATTTATGTTAAAGTAATTTTGAGGTGAACTAAGTGATTTTTAGAGAAAAACGCTGAAAATTGGAAATGAAGAATAGCCCAGTTGTTAATGGTTAAAATTTTTGATAAGTGATAGGAAATAAAACATATTATTTTCTGTTTATATTATAATAATTATAATAATAATGAAAATTTATAAAGCGCCCTATATACAAAATAAAAATTACTCTAAGGCGCTGTACATTCAACATGGTAATGAAAACAAATCAATGACAAAAACATAAAACATACATTGTGTCAGATTCAAATACTGAAAAATAAACAAAATACAACAAAAATGCCTACCATAAAATAAAAGGTCAATACGCAAATACATGTTAAAACAAAAAATTAAAAAATTAGCAATGTAGGCTAAAAGCATGCAAAACAAGCAAAAAATCTAAAAAGGAATACAAAAAACTTGCATTAAAAGTTGATACAAAACAAGTAAAACCCGTAAAAGAGAAAATGAAAAAAATCTAATTAAAAAGCAATTCGATAAAAATGAGTTTTTAGCTGAGGTTTAAAACACTCTAGGGACTTGCATTGTCTTAAACTGTTCGGGGGATTGTTCCACAGAGATGCGGCTGCCCAATCAAATTGTCTTTCACCGTACGTCTTCGTCCTCACTTTTGAAACGGTAAGTTGTTTTGTAGAGCTTGAACGCAGAGATCGGTTTGGCACTTGTAAATTGACTAGTTCCCGAACGTAAGCAGGGCCAATGCCATTCAAAGCGCAGTACACATACGTAAGTATTTTGTATAGTGATCGGTATTGGACGGGTAACCAATGTAAACCAGCAAGCCGTATCGCAGTTATATGTTCATGTTTTCTTGTCCTGGTGATAAGACGGGCTGCTGTATTTTGTACTTTTTGTAATCTGTTCATCGTAGTCTAACAAAACCTTTAAACAGACTTATTAAGAAGGGATATAGTTGTCAGGTCATTAAAGATTGCATATTTTGGCTTTAATATTGATCCACTTGTAGTGTCTTTGCATCGGAATTAAACATATTTATTCTAAAACCAGTTGTTGGCATGACACGGGTTATGTTCTTCTCATATATTTTTTGATGGTATAATACTAAACCCCTAACAGGATGATTGTGCCTTACATTCATGGGGTGGGGGGGGTTAAGAAAAATTGTAAAGATGGAGAGAAAAAGGCTCGGTTAATTTTGGTTTTAGGAACAAGGACACTAATTACTCTTTTAATCTATTGTTATCTCTATTTGGCATCTGTTAATCTTCTTCATCCTTTAATTGCTTGTGCTTAAATATATTGTTATTGTTTGTATGTTACATTACATTTAGTTTTGAGTTTGTTGTTCGGTCTTTCATGACTGCTAAAATAAAAAGTTTAAGGAGCGAAATATTCCTTCTTGATTCCATATAGTCGGAACGCCATTTTACCCGGCTATACTTTGTTGAAATTTGGACATTTTATTTTATGTTTCTGTTATGTTCATGCATTTTCTTAATTATACTTATAGGTATAATAAAAACGATAAACAAAAATGTTTAAATGTGGTTGAGGGACAGTGTCCCTGTGTGGTTCAAAAATAACTTAAATCAGTTTGGTTACTGACGTTGATTTTGTCATCTTAATTGGTGAAAAGTTATTTCTCTAGTGCCCTTTCTCCGCCATGACGGTAGTCCTTATTTTTGTATTTTTGCATTAGCTACTTTTACAATTTTTAAATTACATAAAGTCTCAGTTAAACACAGGCGACGTGATTGTAGTTTTCTCTTTAGCGGTTAATAATATACATTTATTTCCCATGTCTGCGGGAGATATGGAGATTTGTTCACCCAAGACCAATTTCACTTACCTGCTTCTCATGTAAATTACTTGAACATATACTAGCTAGTAACATGATGAATCACCTTGAAACAAATAAAATATTATATGAACTACAACACGAATTTTGAGCAAAAAGATCATGTGAATCACAAGTAATATCTCGTATATACCAACTAGCTCAAAGCAATGATAAAAATATACAAACTGACCTAGTAATCATGGATATTGCCATAGCATTTTGATTAAGTGCCACACAAACGCTTACTTTACAAATTAAAACACTACAGCATTTCAGAACTGGCAACTCAATGGATTAAATCATTCCTATCCAACAGAACTCAAACAGTCCTTCTCGAAAACACAACATCTGAAAAAATTCCAGTAACATCAGGCGTTCCTCAGCACTGTACTAGGACCAATACTCTTTCTTATTTATATAAACGACTTACCTGACTACCTAAAACACAGCCAAATAAGACTTTTTGCAGACGACAGCATTATCTACCGGCCTATTACCTGCCAGAACGAGTGTCTTAAGCTTCAAGAAGATATAGAAGCAGCTATAAAATGGAAGAAAGACTGGCTCATGTCATTCCACCCGGACAAATGTAACATCCTTAGAGTCTCAACAAAGAAATTTCAAATACATTTTTATTACAACATGCATGGCCATATCATAGAACAAGTACAATCAGCAAAATATCTAGGCATTACACTTTCTTCAGATCTCAAATGGAACAAACATATACAACAATCAGCAGCAAAAGCAAATCAATCCTTATCATTTATAAGACGAAATCTAAAAATTAACTCAAAATTAGTAAAGATAAGAGCTTATCAAACTATAGTAAGACCAAAATTAGAATATTGCCGCACAGTTTGGGATCCACACACTTCAGAAAACATATACAGACTGGAACAAGTGCAAAGAAGAGCTGCACGATATACAATGTATACTTGCAACAGATATCACAATACCAGCAGTGTATCTGTAATGCTACATAATCTAAACTGGCAAACCTTACAAGAACATAGATTAAAAACCAGACTTCAAAATTAATGTTCCACAAAGTCAAAAACAATGAAATTGCAATACCATCGCAAGATATTCTCATAAAAAGCCAGTCTAAGACAAGATCTACCCATCACCAAACATACAGACCACTTCAATGTAACAAAGACAGTTTTAAATTCTCATTATTTAGCCAAACAATCAAAGATTGATAAATTACCACCTGAAATTTCAAACCAAACCTCCACAGACAACTTTAAGGATGCAATTACTCATGAAGTACTCCTTAAAACATTCTCTCGCCTAAACTAAATGTGCCTATTGTTTTTATCTTAATGAAAATATATATATATAAAATGTAAAAATTAAAAGTTAAATAAATGTAGATCTTTTGTACCAAAGTGGTCCCGTTTTGGGTGTTTAATATGAGATAAACAGGGGAAATGTTATCTTACGAAATACAAATCAACGATATGCCTTCAGTGGTTAGTTGCTTACATCCAAGTCATTTTGACTCTGGTGGATAGTTGCCACAATGAAAAGCATACCACACCTTCTTATTTTTAAAGCCAGTGTGGTATCCTACTTATAACAATAATGTTTGTCTGTTAACAAAGTTACGTAGTGGAACATTAAAGTTAAATATTGAAGTTGGTCGTTACAATAATATTCCGAGAGAAAATCGTTTATGTGAATGCTGTAAAATGTGTGTTATTGAAGATGAATACCATTTTGTTCTTGTTTGTCCAGCTTATAGATCTGTACAAATACAATTTTTACCAAAGTATTATTGTTCTTGGCCTCATAATCACAAGCTTTTGTATATACTACAAGCGTCTAGTAAGTCTCCTACTATCAAATTATGTAATTATGCAAAAACTGCATGGAATATTAGACCTCATTTAGTCTCATAACTTTACATTTGTCATAGTATTATACTATTGTTCTCTGCTGTCTATCCATGTTTTATATTATGTATTATATGTTGTTAATTTTGCTATAGCATGTCTTTGCTTTTGCAATAAAGATTCAACAACTGAAAATAAACTAAATTTTTTTGTCTATGGGAGATATAGAGACTGAAATATTGTTTAGATAGTCCTATATAATCTAATATTATGTCTTTTGTTTTTTTGAGTCGTTTGAGTTGCTGTCTCATTGGCCTTAAATACCTCTCATCTTCCTTTATTTATAACTTGTACTCTGTTATAGAAAGGGTACTTGGAAATTCAACGTTAAAAACGCCGTTTCCTGCTTCCTGGATGCTGACCTTTATTCAACTCATTCAAACGAAACTCAACGATTATCCAATTAC